AATCCAATTCAAATAAACTTCTTTTTTATTTTGTAGAGCTTAGTGAATTCTGCAAAATAAAAAAAATTATTTGAATTAGATTATTAGAAGGCTAGAAATTTTAATTTTAATTCATAAAGTCTACATAGTCCCGTAAGGTTATTTTCAAGGCAAAGACCCCATATTTTCTCTTAAAATTTAAAATTATAAGTATACCAATATGGTGTATTTTTATGTGTAGATCAAGTTTATTTAAAGCATAAAGTAGATTTAATTAATACAATTTTATAGATTTTAATATTTTCTATAATTTTATTAATAAAATTATACAAAATATTGTGATTTTTAAACTTTTACTCTTTTTAGCTTTTAATCAAAGTTGTAGAATATTGTTTTGCAATCAAAATGGTGGTTAAAACATTAAAATCGGCCCAGTAGATCACAAGATATAAGCATTTTAGTTGTCATGACTATATGCTTTCTTCTTTATTTATATAAAAAAAATATATAATCACAAAGGCAAAAATACTTATATCTCACGATCTACTAGGCCAATTTTAATATTTTAAGTGCTATTTTGATTGCAAGACTCTCCTCTACAACCTTTATTAAAAGTTGAAAAGGTTTATATAATAAAGAAAACATTTTAGCTAAAAATCTCTAAATTTAAAAATTTTACTATTCAAACTTAAACAGTTTGACAAACTTCAAATCAAACCTAAATCAAACTTACAATTAAGTTTGAATTTGATTTGAGTTTAAAAATTTGCAAAAATTCAATGTTTGAGTTTGGGTTTGATTTCAAATCAAACTCAAACTCAAACTTATCAAATCAAAATTTAGAGCCCTAACTATATTCTAGGCAAATTTGCTTAAATAAAATTAAAAATTATTAATGATATGGGATATAATTTATATACAGTTGTCTCTCTATATAATCACACAGTTAGACACACCCAATATGGTGATTATAAAGAGGTGTAACTTTATAAAGGTACCTTTATATAAGCACAAATAATAATTAATATAAAAAATATGATTTAATAGAGGTAAAAATAAAAAACCTAATTTTTTAAAATAATTTATACTGTACTATAATACTGTAAAACTACAAGAGTTAAGAATTTAACTATTAATCTACTAAAAAAATGCTATATAAAAGATATCCTTCTAAATAGTAGACCTATCAAGTACTAGACCCAAGTGCAGTTCTTGAAATGCAATTCTTTTCAAATATCTAGATTGCATAAACAAATGCAAAGTATATATGTATTTTAAATTTTTATTTTTGATGATACAAACCCTCAGTTATGTACCAGACTTAGATTTAATATAAATTTTTAAATTGTGAAATGTAACAGACCAGTTTTTTATACAGCCATTTTACAGTATTTTTAACTTTTGTAGTTTGCCTAAAGATGTATCTTATGTAAAATAAAACTAGCATTCATTCCACAAGTCATGATTTTACGTGAAGTGCAAGATGACCTCATCCCTAATCACTATAGTTTTCTCAATTAAAAATTTACTTTGTACAAAATATAATGCAAAATAATTCTATTACTTAACTATTAATTTATTCATAAATATCTGGTTTATGGAAAATCAACAAAAAATTATTTTATTTTACACAGTATATATTTATAGACAAATTTATTTTATTTATTTCACTATCAGCTCATTTGACAACAAAATGTTTTTCGATTAAGGCAACTTATAGTTTATATAAGAGATGAACTTGTTAATAAAATGTTCTGTCAGTAAAATAAATTTTCTGTAAAGTAAGCTTGTCTGTGAATTAATCATTATTTACTGATAGTACATTTTACCGAAGCTCATTTTACCAACAAGTTTTTTTTTATAAATTACACTGACTTTAACTCTAATTATAACCTAACTCTTGTGATATTGACCAGAATTACTTTGTCTATAAAAAATGAGCTTTAGTGAAATGAACTTATCGGTAAGTAATTGTTAGTTGAAATATAGTGTTTACGAAGGATCTCTTGAACTAAGACATCTATATATAAGTATCATGAAATGACGCAGTCTCTTAAACTAAGATGTCTATAAAGAAGTAATGCAGATTTCTCAAATAATCACAATTAGGTGTTTATTGACTATACATATTCATCTGATTTATTGTCTCATATTGATTGCATGATTATGTAAAATTGAATAGAAGCTAAACTTTTAAATTTATTTGTTCTTACGATTACTAATCAAATATTAACAATTCTGATTATTTCTCCTTTAGATTCATTGAGCCAATTGCTATCTCTCTTGCCTTTATTATGGGTCCTGAATTGTGATACTTAAAAACTTATTCGAATCAGGGCTTTATTTACTTATGTAAATTAAAATAATTAAAATAGCCCTCGATGAAGTAAATTTATTGCAAAAAGGGAACTACAATTAGAACAAACTTTACTGAATTGCTTATTTAAAGTAAACTTTTGCTTACATACTTATTTTTATATACTAGCAATATTTATTTCAAATATTTATATTAATTATAAACATATAAAATCTACATTTAATTGTTATATAAGTTGTTATAACATTCACTAAACATAGGTAAAATAAAAAAGAAAAAGGTTGAAAATATTAAGAAAATATTGCATGTTACAATGTAACATTATTGTTTAAAAGCATAAAAAAATCATCAATAGATATTTGGCATTTAAATTCAACATATTTTCAGTTTACTAAAGTTAAATATTTTCAAAAAATTTTAAGATCTTCTGCTTTGAAATTTGTATTAGTTTGTTGTTCAAAAAAGTTAATAAACTTTTTTAATCTCATCAATTCCTCTAACACAGTGATTTCTGGTTCTTCTTTATCTGAATTGTTAGAATCTTCATTTTCAAGTTGATTTTCTTCATCCAAAACTATCTCAATAATTTTAGAATCTTCAAGTTTTTTTTCAGTTATAATATGTGAACTATTGAGGTTCAAATATATATTTAACTGGCTTTCTACATCTAGATCTATATCTTGAGATATCAAATTTATCACCAATGAATCGATGTCTTGTTCTTGTTGCTCCAATAATGTATCTTGATTATCAGTAGCGACTTTAATTTTTTCATAAAAAACTAACAGCAAAATTCCAGTTCTATTCCAATAATTAATAATTGCTGAATTTTCAACAGCATCTCAAGACTCTGAAACATAGTAAATAGTGTCTTTTATACTTATTTTCTTTTTAATTAAAATCTAATACATTAAAAAACAAAATGTGTGTTACGGTAAATAATTCGATGATTGGCTAAAGTAAAAATAATCGACACACATATACTATACTCACATATATATACGTGTTCACATATATACGTGTTTTTTTAAACACCACCTGCTTTTTTCGAATCTTGCACATAACGACACACATATATATTTACTATACTCACATGTCATGTATACACATTCTTTAAACACCACCTGCTTTTTTCGGATCTTGCATATAACAACTTATCTTTCATAATATCTTAATTTATAGATTAATTATTACCCGGGTTATTTGCATTTATATTATACTTTAAAAAACTATATATGATTATTAGAGTTTCTGTAGTTTGAAGCTAGCAGGCTTTTTGTATATATGTCGTACATCGGAATGGATTTAGAACCCATCTAGATTGATTCCAAATAAACATAAGTTGTAATAAAATTCTAAAATGAGCCTAAGACGTTAAAGAATTCCAATTCAACTTATGCTAAAATTAAGTGTATTCCAAATTATTTCATCGAGTACTTTGTTTTGAAATGTTTTGAAATTTAGTTGCTTAAGTCAGTTTATTTATTAATTAAATTTAAAAGCATTACTTGAAGTTTTTGCATCCATGATTAGTATTCCGAATGATATATATATTTTTTATCTACAATGATTTTTTCACAATATTATCTATTTGCATAATCAACACTTGGATGCTTATGTGTGTTGAAAAAAAATTTGGTATAGAAAATTGTTGTGTTTATTATATCAGAAGGTTATTATAGGAATGTTCATATATTCAGGGTCGACTGTACTACAGTATCTTCTAAAAACTTATAAGTAATCCAATAATGCTGGAGTATCCAAGCAATATGTGTCATTTGAGGATCTTGCAAGAAGTGTCTTTCGATCGTTTTCTTACATTTGCTGGATCTACTGTATGTAAAACCTTAATACAAAAATCAAAGTTTTCATATGATATAAAGGTTTTATATTGACTATTAGTCAATTTGCTGCTAAGATATTTCTTTAAATATATTAGGAGGTAAAAATAGTTAATCTTAAGATTTGGTTATCGGATAGAATGTTTTTGCAAAGGACAAAAAGTAAAATAATAAAATAATAAAATTTTGTATTTTATCTTGACAATTATCATGACGATATGGTGTAATTTATTTAACAATTATACATTTATTGTGGAATTTGAAGTCATCTTGATATTAAATTTATGATTATCAAATTTAGAATCAATTTAGATTGCTTTTAAAATTTGTATCAACTTGGGTTACATTTGGAATTCTATTCCAACCTAAGTGGATTTTAAACTCGCAATAATTCCATTTTGACATATGATATATACAGTTGACCCTCTCAAAACCGATAAAAAATTAGTCTACCAAGTCCGTTTAATCTAATAGTTTGTTATCAGGTGTTGGCTTGACCAGACCAGTTTGACCATTGGACCAGATCAATTTGACCAATTTGACCGGTCTGGTCAAAGGATCTGTACTAGTCAAATTGGTCAAATATAATATTTAAATTTAAAATTTCAACTAGTAGTGCTTGGATCTGTTCAAAAAATCCGTTGGATTTTCTATTAGATATCTGTTCATATCGGATAACGAAAATATTTCTGCAGATAGTCGGATATCTATTAAACTATCTGATACTTCAATTAATATTAATATTGGCATGAATAAATGATATATTTTATACGTAACATATAAATTTGAGAATTTTTTGTTTTTGATATCTATTGATACTTCGATTAATAATAATGATGCATTAATATTTTGGCATGAATAAATGACATATTTTTATACGTAACATTGAATAGAGAATTCTTTCTTATAAATTCGTATTTTATCTTGATCGCAAAAAAAAAAATTTTACATAACTTATTCATAATCGTAATATCGTAATAATGGATAGTGAAGATTATTTATCTAGCGAAACCTCAAGCTATAGAAGTTGTAATTGAAATGAATCCAAATATTAATTAAAAATGCTTAGCACCTTAAAACAACTAGTCTAAGCATGAAGTCTGATTTAAAGTTTATTTAAAAATTCAAGTAAAAATTTTTATGATAATAAAATATACAAGGTGAAAAGCATATATTTCAGAAATAAAATTACACACCAATTTTATATATTATAGTCACCGCGTCGCATTAACTATGTTATGTGACTCTTCGCTATTATATATTTATTCCTCTTAGTGTAAATTGATTACAGAACTCTTATTGTTAGTAATTAAAACAAAATCTTAAAAATAAAAAATGGCCCGAAAACGAACAAGACCTAATACGCCACCTCATATTCGACAGGGTGAATGATACTGAACTCCAGATCGTGAAGAAACCCCTAATGATTGAAGAAAATGAATGATCCGAAAGATTAATGCTGCTAGAAAATACTATGATGACAAATTCTTTACAATCAACAAATGAGATATCAAATAACCAAGTCAGAGGTTCGTTAAGCTGTTTTAGTGATTATAATATATATATATCATAATTAAATTCAGCTTATTTGACTTCATATACCTAAAGTCATTTGAATTAAAAAATCGTTAATTATACATAGCATTCTTCATTCCTGTTGTTATATACTATTAAATTTAAGAATATTTTAGCCTAATAAATAGTTAACAAATAGGTGATTATATTCTAATTTTAATATTCGGCCAATATAGATTATCAATTTGATGGAGCTTCTCAACCTGAACTTAATATCATACCTGTTCAGACTCAATCCATTCAGAGACGTACTAGGACAACATATAATCTTGCCCGGAGTATAATTGATAATTTTAATCTATTAATTATTAGTGAAAAAAATGTGATTAGTGGCCGACATATGCTTCAACAAATATCAATTTGTTGTGAACACTGTCAAGCTATACGTTGGCCAACGGAGTCCTCAACTAATTGCTGCCGTAATGGAAAAGTTGGTTTGGCACCATTAGATAATGCACCTTAATCAATTTTAAGGCTGCTTATGGAAAATTCACCCATGACCAGAGAACCATATTTGAAACAAATTTGGTTGTTCAATTCAGTTTTTGCATTCATATCGATGGGAGCATCAATTGATCCACATCTTGCAAATGGTGCTAATGGGGTATATACCTATCGTGTTCAAGGTGCAATTTATCATCGAATTGGTTCAATGCTTCCTGCGGAGAATTGTATACCCAAATTCTCACAAATATATATATATGATAGCAATTTTGAAACTGAATTGAGCTACCGTCACAGCGTGTTTCCAACTTTAGACACTTTTCTTTTAGCAGATATTCAGCATGAGCTTCATATGCATAATCCTTTTGCTCAAGTTTTTCATAGTGCTGGCCAATTTGTGCGTGAAGGTCAACCTGTTGTGTTAAAAATTTTAAGTGGTCAAGAGTATGATGTACGGTATTATAACCGCCCTACTGCTAATGAAGTTGCAGTTTTGATGATTGATGACAGTACTATCAATAGTGGTCGTGATATTCTTCTCCGGACTAACCAGGGTCAATTGCAGCAAATATCAGAATGCCATGCTGCATACGATGCACTTCAGTATCCATTACTATTTTCATATGGCCAGCTTGGGTGGCATCTCAATATTCCTTATTCAACAAGTGCCAGATCTAACTATCATAAAAGCCATGAGCTTGCAAGTAATAATGATTCTGAGAATGGGAATTCAGACAATGAATTGAGACAAACACGGCAGTGAACTCAAGTCACGTTGCAAGACCATGCAGCATATCGTTTACATATACGCAACCCTGTTGATGGTATACTTCATTATGCTGGGTGTCTTTTTCACCAATATATTGTTGATCAGTATGCTAAAATTGAACAGAATAGACTTCTCTAGCATAGAATGAATCAACGTACACTTCGTGCAGATTTTTATCAAGGACTTGCTGATGCAATGGCAAATGACTTCCAAGATCTTAGCAATATAGGGACTCGAATCATTCTGCCTTCATCATTTACTGGCAGTAATCATTATATGAGCCAATGCTATCAAGATGCAATGGCAATTGTGCGAGAATTTGGGAAGCCAAGTCTATTCATTACAGTTATATGCAACCCCAATTGGCCTGAGATTCGTGCTGAGCTCTATGACAGACAAACGCCAAGTGATCGGCCTGATATCATTGCCCACATTTTTAATCTCAAGTTAAAAGAAATTTTAAAAGATCTTATAAGAAGAAATATATTAGGGAAGGTAGTGGCATTTGTATTAGTCATTGAGTTTCAAAAAAGGGGACTTCCGCACGTGCATATATTAATAATACTTGCAAAAGAGGATAAACCACGAATGCCATCTAATTATGACAGTATTGTATCTGCTGAACTTCCTGACCCTATTCGTCAGCCACAGCTTTATGAGACTATTACTCGATATATGATATATGGGCTTTGTGGTATACTTGCACCAAATGCTCCATGTATACAAAATGATACCTGTTCAAAAAACTATCCCAAGCACTTTATTATGGAGGATAAAAATGGATATCCGTTATATAGATGGTGGGACAACGGGCACACTATTCAATTAAGAAGCTGCACATTAAACAATAGATATGTTAGTAAATTATGTTTCTTTTTTATGTAATAGTTGATATTGACTAATAGTCAACTAAATAAATAGGTGGGTAGTGCCGTACAACCCATACTTATGCCAAAAGTATGACTGTCACGTTAATGTAGAAATTTGTTATACTATCACGTCAGTCAAATACTTATACAAATATGTCTATAAAGGGCATGACCGGGCTTTAGTTGTTGTTCAAAATGATGGTACTAGGAATGCAGCTTATGATAAGATCCAAAAATATCTTGATACTCGGTATGTTTCAGCTTCTGAAGCATGTTGGAGAATTTTCTCTTATGACCTACAAAAAAGATCTCATTGAGTAAAAAGACTGCATGTAAGAATGAAAAAATCTTTTTTTTAACTGCTTCTAAGTATAATTTAAATATTTCTATTTTTAATTATAGGTACACTTACCAAACCAACAATCAGTTCTTTTTAATATGCGTTCAAATCCAAGTGAAATTTTATCAATAGCCATGCATACAAAACTCACGAGATTCTTCGAAGTATGTAGGAATAATCCAGAAGCTGCAGGACTCCTATATTCAGAATTCACAAAATTCTTCTGTTGGAAAAAAGGGGCCTAGTACCGTCGAAAAAGAAGTGGAAACAAAGTGATTGGGAGACTATATTACTGTTCACCAAACGATCCAGAACGCTTTTGCTTACATCTTTTGCTATGTCACATTCGTGGTCCAAAATCATTCGAAAACCTGCATACAGTTAATAGTGTCACCTATCCAACATTCAAACAAGCTGCGCAACAATTAGGTCTTTTAGAAAGTGACGATGAATGGTTTAACTGCTTATCTGAAGCAAGCCTTTTTCAAATGCCATCACAGCTATGCCTCTTATTCGCAACTATATTAGTTTATTGCCAGCCAGCAAGTGTCAGAGATTTGTGGGATACTTACTTGCTGGCTCTAACAAAAGATTTTGTATATGCTACACAACAGCTTGGCCAAAACGCCACACCAGAGGATCCTTTAATAATAAGCTGTGCTTTACTTGAAATTGAAAATCATATTAAACAATATGGAAAGAGTCTTGAAGACTTTCCTGAATTACCTGCCATACATTATGATTTATTGGATTGTAATAGACAAACACAGCTTTTTATAGAAGAGACAACTTTTCTACAGGACAAATTGCAGCAGATTCTTGAAGGTGTTTCTCTACTAAATGATAAACAACGTGCAATATATGATGCTGTAGTAGCAGCTGCGGAACAATCAAATTCAGACCCCTCTATTTTTTTTATTGATGTTCTGGCGGTTTTGAAAAAACTTTTTTGTATAATATTCTTTTAGCCTACATTCGCATTTGGAATCAGATCGCACTAGCTCTAGCTTCATCAGGGATTGCAACATTATTGCTTATGGGCGGTTGAACTGCACATTCTCGATTAAAGATTCCTTTAAAACTAAATGAAACTTCAACATGTCAGTTATCAAAACAATCTGAGAATGCCCGTCTGTTAAGAGAATCAAAGTTAATAGTTTGGGATGAAGCCCCTATGGTTAACAAATTTGCATTCGAAGTTGTTGATAGGTTATTACGTGATATTACTGACATTGATAAGCCATTTGGTGGAAAGCTTATAGTATTTGGAGGTGATTTTCGCCAAATATTGCCAGTTATTATTTGTGGGTCACAAGGACAAATCATTAATGCCAGTCTTAAATGTTCTTATCTTTGGGATTCAATTTAGCAAATGCTACTTACAAGAAACATGCGTCTTCAACAAACGAATGATCCTAATGCAGCAGAAGATCGTGAATTCGCTGATTATCTTCTTCAAATTAGAGAGGGAAAGGAACTCACTTACCCTAATATTGGCCAGGATTTCATTCGTTTGCCTAATGACATAATGCTCGAAGATCGGCTACAAGAACTAATTAATTATATATACAGTGACCTACAAACAAGATGGAATGATCGTCAATATCTTTTGGAACGTGCAATTTTGACAACCAAAAATCAAGGAGTTGCTGAAATCAATAATTTGATCTTATCTAATTTTCCTGGTGAGAAAAAGACTTATTGCTCCACAGACTCTGTTGGGGATGCTGAGAGTATTAATAATAATTTATATCCTCCAGAGTTTCTTAATACACTTTCTCCAAATGGTATGCCTCCTTACAAATTAAATCTTAAAAAAGGTGTACTTATTATATTACTTCGCAATCTAAACGCAAAAAAAGGTTTGTGCAATAGGACACACCTAATCATTCGAGACTTTCAACAACATGTACTTGATGCTGAAGTTGTTACAGGTTTATGTCCAGGATTACATGTTTTCATTCCACGTATAGTTCTTGAGCCATCTGATACAGAACTTCCATTCAAGCTCCGTCGACGTCAATTTTCAATTAAGTTAGCCTTTGCTTTAACAATAAATAAAGCATAGGACCAAACTATTCCAAACCTTGGGCTTTACCTTCCAGAGCCAGTATTTACTCACAGACAATTGTATGTGGCTCTTTTCCAAGTATGTTCCTGCCGAAATATTAAGATCGTTACAGATGTTAGCTGGATAACAGATCAAGGATATTACATAGCCAATATAGTTTATCGTGAGATTTTTGATAATTAGATAATACATCGGTAAGTTAGACACTAAATAAACATTGCAAGAAAATGAATGAACATGCCAAATACATAAGTATTGAGGCAACTTTTGCCTCGAATCATGTGCCATCTGATCGAACATGGTTATGATCACATGTTCGATCGATCGAGTAAGTATGAGGTAATCAGGTAATTAGTAGTACGATCATTGATGAAAGTATTGTTAGAATGATTAGTCTTAGTAAATATGAGATAACTGATTAATTGATCAATGAGGTAATTGGATTGTAGTATATTTAGTAAGTGAGTGAAAATAATAGGAATTAGCTTTGTCTTTTCTGCGAACCTGACTTTCGTTCTGGTTATATCGATCCCTCCCACCCTATCTGCGTTAGAGCGATGCATAATTTGTATAGCCTGCTGGGATGGCAGTTATAAATAAGAGCAGGTGGTAGGATCTGTTAGAATTGTATGTTGAAAAACGTTAAATGTGATCTGTTGAGACAACAATCACAAAAAAATGGCCTACCGGAATAACAGTCATAATACAAAAAAGAAAATAGATGAAAAATGAGAAAGAACATGTTGCATAATTCTATAAACAACTGCGTAGATAGTAATTTATCATATGTGCAACCTGTATTCAAGGTAGTGTCACTTTATTGATATATTAGGGTAGATGTTTCAATCTGCGTACAACGTATATACTGTACTACGTACGTATGTACGTAATTGAACCTAGGTGCCGCACAAAAAATGCATGGCATATTTTCGAGCGCATTACATAATTGTTTACTAATTTCCGGCCGGAATTAACTTTTTGATTTTTTTATATAAAAATATAAATTTTTTAAAAATAAGCCTGCATTATGGTAAAATTGGCCAAAAAACAATTTTAACTTAATAGGCAGCTGTGATTTTATTAGTAAAATTATGAGCACACCTAGGTTCAATTATGTATATATACTGTATATTATATATGATTTTTCAAGTACTAAATAATTGTATTTATTTTATATAAATATCTGATATATTTAATGTAAAAGCATCATTAATTAATATTATATAATATTACTTATTTCAAAATAAATATAGTAGTGAATTTAAAAAACCACACATGCTTAATTTTAATTTATATTTAATAGCATATACGTATAGTATAGTTTTTAGATTTTATATTAAATATATTTTTATTATTATATATTATATGTTGTAAGTAAAAACAGAATTTAGAGATTTTAGTATAATTATTTTATTCTAATCTTCAATAAGCAGATTTTTCTTACTTATATTATTAATATTTAGATTAATTTAATATTTTTCAAATAAACTTTTAAAAATTAAAATTTTAAATTTATTTAATTTATAATACCCGAAGCATTGTGAGGGTTAATTGCTAGTTAAAAAAAAAAGTAAACTTGTTTTATATATAAAAATACATTGTATCAGTATACATTTATCTTATAATTTTAAATTTTATAAGAAAAATGTATAATTTTGTAATTTTGATCAAAAATTCCAAAATTAGAAATCTTTCTTTAAACTTTTTTTTTTTTTATTCTTTGACAGATCTTGTTGTGGCTCGAACTTTTAGTTTGTAGTACACATAAACTATATACATAATTTCTAAGACTAAATAAAAGCCCAACTCCATCTAGTTATCTAATGATTACCTAGGTGCAACTTATTGCACTGGCTTATGAATAAGCTAGAAATAGACTCTTTTACAAGCTTGTCCAAAAGGGGTTTATACCCTTTTGTACTCAATTCCCTACTACATCATACTATACATTGTACTTCTCCTTATCCTTTACAAATATTTCAACACCTTCTCTTTTAGATTTTTCTTTACAAATAGTTGGAGTATTCTTTTTTGACTGTATTTCTTTGGTTTTCTTGCTTTTTTTATCCTTCTTCTTTATATTATGATTCTTTTCCCAATTGACAATCTTGATGCATCTATCTTTCCAAATAAAATCATAAAAGCTGTTCCAGATTTTTATATAATAATCTGAGTCACTTTTTACTATGATTATTCTCTGGTTGACTGGTGAATTACCAATTAAGATTCTATTAAATGAGTCCATCATTGGTTAGGCTTTTAATTTATAGCTTTCTATTTTCTTGCCTATCGGAGTCTGTCTCCCCAATTAGAATCTTAGACAAGAGATTTTTTGGGTATCTCTTCTTTTCTTCTTTCGTAAATTTGGACCATACCAGATCCAGAGTTGTAGTCTCGATACTTTGCCACATTAATTTATAGTGATCGCATTCAGCTAGGTGATCCTGGGTCTCTACTATGCCAATGTTGCATACTAAATATTTACTATTTGTATAAATATCTAGTCTTCGTGTTGCCAATGTTTTGAGAACTGGTAAACTTTTCGAGAGACACTTCAATTGTGTAGCTAGCTTTTTACTTTTCTTTAGTGTATTATATTTCGCACCTTTAAGCTTTTTTAATATTTTCTAATATGAAAACCAATTCAATATGGCTTGTTTGAATCAGGTTCTAAGGTTGGAATTGAGCTTATTAGTCTTCAATTTATACCATTCCAAATTTCGAAAATCTTTTTAAAAAAAGACCTAGTTGCTTTTTCAACTTTATATTCTCACCAAAAAAGAGAAAAAGAGATTCTTGTATTAAGGTCCAAATGAATGTTTGTTGAATGTGTTAAAAAAGTAGCTTTTTTTGCAAGTATATCTGCTCTATCATTCCATTTGTTGTCGCTATGGCTTTTAATTTTTTTAAGTTCCAGATTGATCTTTTTTGCTTTGATGAGATCTGCAATTTTGATTAAAATATCTCAGTTTTTTCCTTTAAAGATCTTATTGAATCTCTATTCACTTTTGATCTTGTCTATATTGGAGATTACTGCTGCACTATATAAGTATATGCAAATATCACTATTCATTGGAATCATAAAAAGAGCAAGCCAAATTGCGATGAGCTCAGGCTTTGTTGATGAAGGCCAATTTTCTACCTTTGCTATACTCTCCCATAATAATTGTTCTTGTTTCTTATCTACTTGTACCTAACCAATACCCATACTGCAATTATCTCTATCTCGAACTAATGAACCATCTGTGTATACCCAAAAACTATTCATATTAAAACTAATATTTAAGTCTAAACTATTATTTAAACTACTATCTAACTCTATATTAAAATTTTGATTTGTTATTAATTGTTTATTTAAAGATTTCATGTTTTGTATACTAATGAACAAACTTTCTTTCTTACTTGGTTTCATTATTTTTTGTCTACTCTTACTGCTGGTTAGGATATTTTCATATCTTAAAATATGCTTTCAATTATTCTTTTCTAATGGCTTTGGGATTACTGTTAAAATGATAATTTGGCTCATCTAACTATAAATTCCCTCCTAATTTAGTAGAAATACTTCTTCACGTTTTTCTATTTCAATGTATCCTGCTATTGAGCTATTTTCCTTAAACTTCCAATACTCTGTAAGAACTTTATATTTGCCTTTTCTAACAATCTTTCTCAGCTCTAATTTATTGTTTTCCTTATTTATTAATACTCATTCTTTTTTTCTATTGTCTGAAGAAATAGATATGAGCGGTGCTAGAGGTGCTAAATTGTTTGGACTAGTTGTTTGGTAAACTTCTTTAATCTCTTTGTTTTCTGGATTTTGTAATATAGCATTTTCTAGAAAGGTGAACTATTTGGCTTTCCTTTTCACTTTTGGTTTACCTTTTGCCACCTTGAGTTGTTGCCATATTAAGAGCCTTTTCTCTTCTTTGTCAAGTAGTTGATCATGAAAAAGGATACCCAGATTGAAAAGATTTTTGTATGATTTTAAGAAGAGAGAAGAATTTATTATTTCTCTTATTTGTGGTCCAGCATCTTGAAAGAGCCAGCAATCAAGCATGGGTCTAATGTTCATATTGAAAATTTTTGCTTTATATAATGTTAAACATGTTATATTGAGCTTCCAGATCAAATTCAAGTATGAATATGTTTCGAATTGCCAATTACACTTTACCAAATTGGCTTTTAGAAGACCTTGCTTGATTCAAATTTTTGCTAAATAACTATCCTGATCTAACCTATTTAAACACTGATGTAGATTTGTTATTTGTTGTATTAAAGCTTCTGCCAAAAAAATTTGCAGTTTTCTAAATCTATATACAAGTAAAAAGTTGCTTGTTATATATAGTAACTTGACTTTGTTCTTTATGAGTTTTATTATCAATTAATATATTTCGTCTAAGGCATTTTTTGACAAATTTGAGGTTTGTAGAATATAACAAAGCTTAGGAATAAGATACATATTGTTTAAGTAGATTAGCTGATTTAATATAAGTTTCTTATATCTTAATATCTTGATGGTCATCTGAACTATTTGCTTAGCCTTATTTTTAATCAATGTATTTTGAGCTTTTTTGCTTATCTAAACACCCAGAAATCTTGTAAGCAACTTGCTTTTTTCTGCTTCCACTTTTTTATTTGCTAGAATTATATTCTGATTGTCTAAGCTTTTTGTCAAATTAAAAGTTATCAACTTTGACTTTTTTGGGGTTACATGAATATCATTGACTGAGTAGAATTCTTCTGTGATTTTGAGTGTTTTTTCTAGCTATAACTTGCTACTACTATCCAAGTTGTGTCATCTGTATATGCTAAAGCCGCTTGGCGATATTTTGTTTCTTTGTATGAATTCTTACGCAGATCTAGTGGCTCTTTGAGAAGTATTGTATAGCCCAGATTTTTGTTGCTTTGAATCCTATATATTAGTGGGTCATAAAATATTCACCAAACGAGCGGAGACAGAACTTCTCCCTGCTCTATACTATCTGATGCTGTGATATATTCTGTGGAGCCTACTGCTATTAAGATTTGTGTTCTCTAATCTTTGAATAAGTTTATAATAAAATTCGTCAATGTGCTTGGAATTTTAATTCTTTCCATTACAAGCTTGAGCATTTGAAGAGGGACTGAATC